AATGGGTCATTTTAATTTTCCAAACACCTATGAGGAAGATTCCATCACCATCCCCAATTTTACACATAAAGAACAAATATAGAAAAGTAACAACTAGTAAGAGATGGAGCTAGGTTATGAACCTGGGCCATTTGCTTCCAGAGTTGGCATTCTTAACCACTTTATGTCTGTAAATTAGTTTTATTCTCATTTAGGAAAGGAATTGCCATGAGAGAAGAGAGTTCAATAGCACTCATGCTGATGTTTAACTGCTCGACCAATTATCCTTAAAGTACTTAAAACAGTTCCTGGTACATGCAAGCACTGCTGTTATAAGTGCACTATTAGCATAACTTTAAGGTCTTGCTTACATGGGGGAAGTCAAACTTGCAGTGGTGGGAAGTTTTATTGCCATGTTTGGTTTTCTTTCATCAGCTGTGTCCACAAAAAAGTATAACAACGTTGATACTGCATTTTAGTTGCCAAAATTCTAGGAATAATATTTTTCAGGACGATATATTTCATTTTGATTTAAGTTTCCTTTGAGATTCTGGAATTTTCTGTAAGTATCTCAGACACAAACTTTGCAAATCCTGAAATGTGTCTCTACTTCCATATCATTTTCTGTCTATCTAATCCTGCAACCTCTTCTTTTACCTTACAAGGTAGCAAAACATAGATCGCAATGAAACCTGTTTTTTCTCCCCCTTTCTCCCTCCAGAAACTTTGGGTAATTGGAATCCTTTCCAAAAGGAAGCTTAGTTTTTGGAATGAATGAATCTCCAAAACTATGTTTTAATTGTAAAAATGGAAAGGCCAAAATATAATTTATAGATACTCTTACAAGATAAAAAAATCTTAACCAGCTCAAGCTATGGGACTTATATTAAGCATAATTTTTTAAAACTTTTATTTTAGGTTTGGGGGTCCACGGTTTGTTATATAAGTAAACTGTGTGTCACAGGGGTTTGGTGTACAGATAATTTCGTCGCCTGGGTAGTAAGCATAGTACCTGATAAGTATTTTTTCGAATCCTCTCCCTCCTCCCACCCTCTACCCTCAAGCAGGCCCCAGTGTTAAATGCACAAAATCAACATTTTCTTTTAGAGTTATAGCAGTCTGCATGACTTGGTAGAATCAGTGCTTTGGATTGACAGTTTAGCTCCTAAATCTGGCATTTGTTCTTTTGATTTGCAGTTCCTCCTTTTTCTTAACCTTTCTCTAAAAACAATGAAACTTTTGGCTAGCATGGGCCAGGAGATAAAATTTCTCAGTTCTTTCTTTTCTTATCAACTTAAATATTCTTTTTTTCTATTGATATGCTGGTTCTTCTGCCTGGAGTAACTTTTTTTATTAGTGAGTGTTGGGCCTTGTCTCTATAAAGAATTTTTTTAATGAACTGACTAATCTTACGGGCCGTGGTAGTTTTTTTTTTCTCCATTGCTTTACGTGTTCCATGCCTCCTGACTTTTTTTCAAAAATGTCAACATTTCGGGGT